GGGCTAACACACAAACAAGAGGAGCCCAACACAGGCAGCGAGGGGCCGGGCCCCGGCTTGCACCCAGTGATGTCAAGCAATAGCCTCTCATGCCCAAATTAAGAATCCCAAACAGGTGAGGGGTTCTGGCCACTGAGCAGACCTGTCAGCACATCCTGAGCCTCACGGCCGACAGGTCCAACCCTATCATGACCTCCCCGGAGCCAGCCTCACCTGCTCCTTGGTGCTCAGTTCCTGGGCATCTGATGTCCAGTGCCACCAAGCTCCAAGCGGAACAGAGCACACGACACCTGCATTTTAGAATGACCCGGCATATGACCCTCAAAAAAGCAGGGAGGCCACAAAAGGAGCTGCTCTGACCTGGGTTTGCACAGAGAAAACCCTCAGTATAAAAAGGCTGCACTGAGCTGCCCTAACTCACTTCTCAGCATTCACGTTAAAAAAAGGCTTTAGATTGTATGTTTTCTACAAGTCACCCAACACGGAGAAAGTCACGGCAGGTCTTTTCATGGTCCTCGACATGGGACGTGGGCACCACACCCTTCTATAGATGTCAGCTGAGCAACTTGCAATAAAAAAGAAACCTGCGTTGGGGAACTCTTTTTTGGACGGCAGAGTCAAATGTGTGCCCCTCCTTACTCTAAAAAGCAGGAAGAAGTGTCTTCTCCTTTCTGGTTTGACCACCTTTCCTGTCTCTGTGGGTCAGCACAGAGCCAGGAAGCTGCAAGCATCAGGGTTTGCCTTACAAGTTTAAGTGCGTGTGTTAGGCCGAGAATTAAGCAGCCCGAGTGAAGGAACCATGTGAGGGATGGTGTGCTTCCAGACAGCAGTTTTTGGACACATCTTGCACAATCTCTGTCATCGTGGTCTGGGTTTGGGGCATCATCCCGTGTTCTCTGAGATGGAAGTGGCCCATTTGTGGCCGTGAATGTTCATCACCGACGAAATCTCTAAAGTTCTAAATGACACGTTCTAGGTGCTTAACGAAGGGTCTCTAGCTGATCTTTCCCCGACTTAGAAGAGGTGGCTTTTTCAATTTGATTTTTAAGCTCCAGGCCCACAAGCATGAAATAGTCACACGTGTTAAAAAATACTGTTTAATTTTCTAGTCACGTACTTTTAAAAAGCTGATACAATTAGACGTTTCCCCCGTCTTCTCAGATCTGCCCCTGAAACCACCCAAAGGCTGTGCATCTTAATTTCCAGCGCTCATATATATGGAGGAAAAGTCGCTCGGGGGAAGCACATGAAGATTTGTCCCCATGGTGGGCACACCCAAGGGTCACTTGTCCAGAAACGTGAATGCAACCCTGCGATGGTCATGGCTGACTTGCCCTTACATTCTTTCTTTCTTTTTTTTTTTTCTTTTTTTTTTTTTAATGAGGAACAATATGATTACACAGCACTGAAAACAATAAACACAAAAGGCTCACCTTTTTCCTTTTTTGCCCTTCCGGCAAAGTATTCCATTCCCACTATTGTCTATGCCAGCTGATCCCAGTTACACCCGTCACCCACCCAGAATTAAAAATAGTTCTCTTGTCATCTACTGATCCTCACATTTATATACAAGTGACTCTGTAAAACTGTAAGAAGATACAATACAATACGTTTCAACTGCAGTTACGTGGGGCACACAAGCAATCACCGTATTGTATTAGAGACGTTTTATTGAAAATGCGAAAATAGGAAATGTATTATAGCCTAAAATAAATTACATAACATATACAGTATATATTTATATCTTTAAAATATTTTTGTGTTTAGGTTCTTTCAGTCTAGAATTTTGACTAAATCAAGAATTTAGTGAACTGTGTCCATAATTTTTTAAAGAAAAAACCCGCTTTCCAAAACTTAGAAAAATATACTGCACTGAATGGATTTCAAATGTGTCATTTCAGGGAGTATCACATAGTGACTTTGCTATCGTTTATAAAATGTTTTATCGTGTGGCGTGAAATTACCTGCACCGCATGGTTATGACTAAAAGGAGCGGAGCCAGGTAATGAATCTACTTCAAAAGTTACGATACAGCAACCTGGCATTAGAATGCTAGATTATGACTTAAAGCTTCAGTTCACTGTAAAAACTAAGACCGCGAAGTTAGAATGCTCCATTTCACTTGCTCTAGCGCCATCTTCAGGAAAGGTGAGTGAGAAGCCTTCGGGGAAAGTCATGCCGGAGGACGCTGAAATTTGGAGATGCGCGTTTGTGACAACTTAAAAAAAGTTAGCTCATGTATGTACACGGCGGGGTCTGAAACGCGGGAGCTCGCTCAAACCTAGGACAATGCCGGTGAAAGGCGATCGTTCAGTCCGCGCGACTCCCCTGGCATCGCGAACCTTCCTACAGGGAGGAGGTCAGGCCCGTCCGTCTGTCCGTCCGTGCAGCGCGTTCACAGGTGCATTCCTCAGTGTGAACGGCCACTCCAGGCCGCAGCCTGTCGCGGACCCCCCGCACGCACGAGTGTGGCAGACAGCTTCGGGCTGCAGGGCGGAGGCCTCCGGGGCCACGTCTCTGTGTACAGCCGGGCTCCTGCTCCTGGGAAGCCGATCCAAGAAAGCCGAGTTGTAACCTGCTGATTCGTTAAGAGAGATGCAAAGGGACGGGGTCAAGTCTGGCCTGCTGGGCAGTGGTGGCGAGGGCGCTGATGGCACAGCCGCAGTCCTTTGGTTCCAAGTGGAGATTGTCCGAGGGAGGAGGAGACGGCCCGTTCTACGAGGCAGCCGCGTCTTCTGGATGTTCGGGAAGCGGGGGCGCGAACTCGGTTCCGTTGGTTTTTTACAAAGCGGTGGCGGAGACCGTCGTCGAGGTCCCCCC